CTGATGTCAGTGAAAGGAGGTTACTGGGCAAAATTTAAGACATGTCAAAAACAATGGCAAGCCACTAAGAAAACTGTTGCTGTGATAAAAATATAACCCGTGAAAGCACCATGATAGCTTATCTCACAGGAGCGCACAGGAGTTCACAGCGAGCCTTTGGAGGCTGAGAGTCTGGATTTCAAGGTCGTTTCCTCACTTTCTAGCTCTGTTCATTGGGCAAACTTGAAACCTCAGTTTACTCATGGGTAAAAAGAGGGATGGCTTCCCTGGTGGCTCAGCGGTAAAGAAACCGCTTGCCAGTGGAGGAGACTCGGGTTTGATCCCTGGGTCGGGAAGATCCCTGAAGAAGGAAATGGCAATATTCTTGCCTGAGAAATCCCATGGACAGAGAAGTCAGGTGGGCTACAGTCCATGGGGTCACAAAACAGTCATACACTACTTAACAACCAAACAACAATAATATCTACTTCATGAGTTTATGAAAGATTAAGAGATAATCCACATAAAATTCTTAGTATGTGACCACTACGTAATTAGCACTTACACCAAGTTAGCTAACTTTAATTATGTAAAATATGTAAACACTTGAAGATATCACATTTGACCTTAATTTATATTCCATTGATTTACATTTATGCCCATAATCATAAACTGCATTTATGAAGTACATGATAGTCCACAAACTGAAGATTAGAAATTATAGTGCAATGTAGAGATAATGAATATAAATATTTTGAGACCACCCCTAGTCATTGATGAGGTAAACAGTTTATAGTAATAAATATATTTATAGACAAAAATACAAAGAAGAGAAATAATGTCAGAAATATTAATGTGATACAATGGATGATTACTATGATGTAGTCAGCTTGTGCTCATATTGTAAACTCAGTTATGTGACCTCTTCATTCTTTTTGTTCTTTCAGAAAGTTCCCTTTAGCCCTAGAGTTTTAAATTCTTCCTACTTTAAAAATTGAATCAATCCATGAATTTAAAACTGCTTTGTACATTATAAACTTTATGTTTTGTTTCTTCTCTCTGTATTAACTTTTTAGGGCATCAATTAAGAAGGCAGACAAAGCCATGGCATTCATAGCCAGCTGAAACATCGATCCATCTAGAAGGCATCTATGATCTACCAAAATCTTCGAAAAATGAGGAAGTGAACACACACCCTAGAAGTCCCATAGGCTCTCAGTGATGCTATTTGCAAGGAGTGTGCAAAACAATGAGAGATGGTCTTGGAGTGATTTGTCATTTCTATTTTTCTTCCCTTTTAGAACATTTGATTTTTTTTCTTTTTTGAGTTCTCTTTGTTTATGAATTGAAAATGCTTTTGTTTATTAAGCTAATTAAATTATTTTAAGAACATAAACAATGTGAGATAAGGGACTCAAACATTGTGAGTCTCTCTGTCTCTCTCTGTGCTAACAAACGGTCCGTGTCATAATAAAACAAGTCTATTTCTAAATAAGGCAAAAATGACTGGGTCTTGTCTGGTGAAGCAAGACACCAAACACAGCATCCCACTGTTTCTGCTGCCCTGGCTGCACCCTGGGAACTTCATGAAACCCAGTATTATGCATCGGAGACCAAAGGTCAGTTCCCAGACAACAAAAGACAATGCCCTTGATATTTGTTTATCATCCTTCAGTGAACGGGGAAGGCTCTAAATTGTGAGAATTTAAAGCAGGCCCTTCCCCATATCTGCCTAAGACTGTGATGATCTTGTACCTGTTCTTACTTTATGAGCCTGTACACACCTTGGGAGAACTCCACAGTTTGCATACCTACCTGGCATAGAAGAGGCATTCAACATTAACTGCATTCTATGAAACAGAGAAACAATTTTGCAATTTATGTTTTGGAAATGAAACTTCAGTTCAAATATAATCTCACACAAAACTCCAGTTTATGAGATAAAGCAAAGCCAGCCCTAGCCAGGGCCACACCACTTTCTTTCCTCTAGAGGGAGGAAGTCCTTAGGAGACCTTAGAACAGTGACTTGAAGATCAAAGATGAGATGAAAATTCTTGCAGTTCTAAATGCTGCTTTCTGAAAAACCCAATGTAATATTCTTCAAGCCCAAGAGAAGATGAGGGAGTGTATGTACCTTAGGCAGAGAGAAAAAATATTCATTCTGTTGGTGCATCTCTGAGGGTGACTGATGGTGCTGAGCCTGTTGCTTGACAGATTCTGCACCCCACCCCGCACAAATGGCGGCTCCGAGGCTACTTCCTGAAGGATGCCGATTTCCAAGCCCAGGGCTCAGGGACCTGACACGCTCCTGTCCCATCCTGCCTGCATTTATCTCCCTTCTCAGACACAGCCTCTGACCACGGCCTGATTCACCCCAGCTCCAGGGAAGTCACAGGAAGCATTTTGTTTACCTAGACTCTAGGAGCACAGTGGAAACTAGGTAAATCAACATTTTTTTAGGGATGTGAAGGGAATTAGTGTTCGAGTTGCTACCTTGGGGCACATACCCTCAGATAAAAAATAAAGTGCGTACACCTTAGAATATAGTCGCTCCTCAACCTAGATGCCCATCAGCAGACGAATGGATGAGGAAGCTGTGGTACATACACACCATGGAATATTACTCAGCCATTAAAAAGAATTCATTTGAATCAGTTCTAATGAGATGGATGAAACTGGAGCCCATTATACAGAGCGAAGTAAGCCAGAAAGATAAAGACCATTACAGTATACTAACACATATATATGGAATTTAGAAAGATGGTAACGATAACCCTATATGCAAAACAGAAAAAGAGACACAGATGTATAGAACAGACTTGTGGACTCTGGGAGAAGGTGAGGGTGGGATGTTTCAAGAGAACAGCATCGAAACATGTATATTATCTAGGGTGAAACAGATCACCAGCCCAGGTTGGGTGCATGAGACAAGTGCTCGGGCCTGGTGCACTGGGAAGACCCAGAGGGATCGGGTGGAGAGGGAGGTGGGAGGGGGGACCGGGATGGGGAATACATGTAAATCCATGGCTGATTCATTTCAATGTATGACAAAAACCACTGCAATGATGTAAAGTAATTAGCCTCCAACTAATAAAAATAAATGGAAAAAAAAGAATATAGTCGCTCCTCGATGACCTCATGGTGTCATTGGAAAGGCTTGTGGTATCCTGTGCTCTAGGCTTGTCTCGAGGGCCAACGGTGTCACACCCATTGAAGAACTCTTTGGTGCAAGAATGAGCTTCTAACTATGCATGGGATGACTGATTGTTGTGAGCATGTGGTCATGATGTATAAGACATGATCTAGCCTGTTCGCCTTAGTGTTTAAAGTAAATTTCTGGAATTCAAGGAAAATTTTGTGTCATAATCTTAAAAATGAAATTCAGGGAGGAAGGATACTATTCTCTTGTTCTTAAGGGAGGACCAGGTTCCAGGAAGCAATGCCTCTGGCAGCGGATTCCCTCTTCTGTGGAGTCCAGTTGCTGTCCTTTGCTCCCTGCTGTCCTGGGTGATGTATCAGTGGAGAGGGTGAGAGGGAGTGTGCTTGACCGGGTCTGAGCCACAAAGCTGAGTTCGTGAAGGAGATGCATCATTCCTGACTTTTGGCTCTCACCCATTCCTTTCCTGGAGTTCACTGGTAACTAGTGAAAATTAAATATCCATGAGCAGACACAATCTCTGGTGAGTTCAGCTGTAGCCAGGGGAAGTAGCTTCCAGATGCCTGGCATGGTACTTCCTGTTTGGATGACAGATTATGTGAACACCCAGGTTACATCCCTTATACAGCTAGAGAACTGACCTGTTGCACGGATAGTTGAGTGACTTTTTTTTATAATGAGTATTTACAATTTATATATTATGAGGCAAAATAATGTCTATTGCTTTGCATTGTACCTCAAAACTGTCTACTGTGCTTTCTCAATTCTTCAAGAACCCTCATGTTGGAACATACAGATCATGTTTGTCTTTTTTTTTTTTAAAGAAACTATTTAAGCAGGCACTCATTTGCGAAGATCCTTCAGATAAGAGAGAACAGAGGCTCTGGAAAGGGGTGTGGGGGGGGGCCACTTTCCAGAACTTTCCCTTGCATCATCTTAGCCATCATGTAGAACTATTGTCTTCTTTGTGATGTTGGCAGAGAAGCATTTCAACAGGTGTCCTCTGTTCTCACCTCAGGTATGGAGAGCAGTGCCCTCCCAGGACGGGGAGAGAGGAGGAAGGGAGTCGGTGACCCGGGTCATTCTGACCTGTCCCCAGCTCTCGTTTCTGGTTCCACGTTGGTCTCCTCAGTACCATTATCCCCTCTCCTCTCCTCCCGTCTTCTCCCCTCTTTCTGCTTTCTTGTTCCAGACTTAGCCACCATGTTGGGCCAGGAGAGGATGGTTTCAGTGTGTTTCCACTGTCTTCCACAACTAAATCTTGGTTTCTTCCTTTTTCTTTATGAATCAAGGTGCGAGAAAGGTTGGTTGGAGGGGAACACAAAGCTGCAGATCCATAAAGGCAAGGAGTGCTGGTGGGCACAGGGCTGAAGTCCCCTGGGCATGGAAAGACTCCTCTTCATTCTCAGTGCCCCGCTTTCCAGAAGACTGAGAGGCGAAGCTGTGACACTTCATCCTGCTTCTCAGAGAGCTGAGAGGGCTGGCAGCAGCTGTGGTCAGAAATCTGCCGGCTGAAGCTAAGGGAAAGGAGGGAGAGCCATAATGGTGAGGGTGGGAGGGCGCGGGGTAAAGCGTCCGGGGAAATGCTGAATTCCTAACTGTAGCCCTTGGGACACCCCGTTGGGCTTCCTGGCTACTTTTCTGCATCTTATTCCATTCCCTTCTCTCCCTCCATCTCTCCCTAGAACAAAGGACACTTTGGGCTATTTTAACGGTGAAGTCCTACCTGCTCCTCCTAACCCCACCGTTCTGGTCATCAAGCAGAAGCGGCTCTTGCTGTAGCATCAGGCCAGTGTCTCGGGTTAAAGCTGGCCCCAAACCATCATATGGCACAGCCCAGGCCGAGATAAGGGGGGAAGCCGTTTCAACCGGAGAGAGCACTACTACAAGTCCTCAGCCCTCCCTGAAGTTTCCGTGCTGCCACCTGGCTGCTCCAGAGGCCTGGGTGCTCCCCGGGCAGAGAGGCCCAGGCGCTCATGTTCACAGCTGCTGCCGCAGTGATGCAGAAACCCAGGTCCTGCCAGGCGTGCTGGGAGCAATAGCTCACAAAACAGATTGTAAAGCCCTGGGCTGGGACTCGCTCTCCTGCGACTTGGCACTTACGTAGCTTTTTCCACTGGCAGGGACGGAGCAGGAGGCGAGGCTGCCCCCTCAGATGATGACCGCCCTCCCCAAACCAGGCTTGTGAGGCCCCAGTCCTGTGACCCTCATTCTTCAATCCTGCCCAGGCCGCGGCGGGGGATGGGGTGGGGGCGGTGAACTGAGGGTGGGGGAAGGGGTTTGAGTAGAACTGCGCTTGACACCGAGGCAGCAGGTTGGAGGCCATCCTCGGGACTCGTTCCAAGTGTGCAATGGCTTAAATCTGGGGGTCGGTCCCGGGAGGCCCAGAAGCACGATGCTGGTGCCCAGCCAGCGGCCGTCCTGCAGCGGGTGTGAATCTGCCCCCTTCCCCCACCCCGGGCCGCCTGGTCAATATCAGGCTGTCTGAGGCTGGAATTGCCTCGCGTCCCCTGGGCGTCTGACCTGAAGCCCGTGCACGTTTCCGGTCTGCGGGGGATGGGCCGCGGGCCAGCGCGCACGGAGGTGGGGGTGGGGGGGCTCGGCTCCCCCGGCCCCCCGCAGCAGCAGCTGTGATGACTTCATGACTCTCAAATGGCCCTGGGGCCCGGGGAACAGGGCCGGGATTGTCTTTACAGGCTGCAAGCGCACGTGTGAAAGAACTGCGTCAGACTGGACCCCCTGCCGCAGATTTTGAAAATTGCTCTCATCTTTAGCAAAAACCGGAATGCCCCTGCCATGCTCCTCCAAGCCCTTGCAATATGCTGAGTCTGGTGTCTCAGCCAGGAGCCACGTGGAGGGAATGATCAGCCCCAAACCACCTTTAGGTGGGATTTCAGGTTTTAAGGGAAGTAATGAAAGTTGGCGGGCTTACCTAGTGGCTCAGCTGGTGAAGAATTTGTCTGCAATGCCGCAGACTCCGGTTTGATTCTTGGGTCGGGAAGATCCCTTGGAGAAGGGATAGGCTACGGACTTCTAGAATTCTTGGGCTTCCTGGGTGGCTCACAGGGAAAACATCTGCCTGCAATGCAGGAGACCTGGGTTCGATTCCTGGGTTAGGAAGATCCCCTGGCGGATGGCATGGCAACCCACTCCAGTATTCTTGCCTAGAGAATCCCCATGGACAGAGGAGCCTGGTGGGCTACAGTCCATGGGGTCACAAAGAGCCAGACAGGACCAAGCAACTAAGCATAGCACAGCACAATGATAGTTTTCGTTTGAATCTGTCAGTGAACCTGTCTGCATTAGAGCAATCCTGGAGAAAGAGAACCAGACAGCTCTGTTTTTCTTAGGAACTTGTCTGCCCTGTCCACTGGGAGAGTCAGGGTGAGTGATGTGGCCACAAGACCCCCTGAACCGTAGCTCACCGATGTGGAGATAGTGAGAAAATTGAGACTGAGCCCTCATGTGATGTGATTGTCAAGCTACCTGTCATTTGTGTGGTGACGGTGGTCCTGGCGATGACTGGGTGGAGAAGCTTGTGCCCGCAGGTCACCAGGTATGATTATGTTCATTGCAGAATTGTTTGTGACGGTGACAGATTGGAATAAGTCTCTGTCAAAGAGAATGGAGAAACAAGATGTGGTGTATTTAGATGATAGCATTGTATACAACAGTTAAAACAAATCACCAGTCTGGGACAGAGCTCAAAAAGGAGGGGAAAAAAACAACAAATTGCAGAATGATAACTACAGTATGAAACCATTTATGTAAAGAGCAAGAGAGAAAGCAGGAAAACCCTCACAAGGCCAGAATGTGCTTTCTGTTCTGTGCTGAGCAGAGACCTGGAAGCCTGGACCCCCCAAAACCCCAAACTGTCTATGCGAGGGTGAGTGGGACTGAAATCTGGAAAAGTAGTCAAAGGTTCCTTTAAGTAAATGTTCTAATGTTTAAGGGCAGAATGATTTCATTTATTTCTTATGTAATTAAAAATTAATTATAAAATAGGGGAAAATGAGGTGTTAGTGGTTTACAAACTTAATCCGTCCAGATTTAGCAGATGTGGAGTTTTGCATTTTTGACCTATTTGTGGGCAATTAGTGGTCAGTTCTTTTTTTTTCTTTCTTTTTGCTGAGATGTAGCAAATTGATATAATTAAAAGGTGCTGTGGGCTGTGTTTTCATACATCGTCAGGCAACTGCGTCAAGTGACACTCAAGGACATCCTTTCTAAGTAGTTTCTCTGCAGACTGTGGCCTTGTTGAACCACAGAGTCATCATCCTGGCATGATAGGCACTGGTGCAGCACTAACTGCTCTAACTGGGCCAGGAGAAGTGGAGAGGCAAGGTAACCTGGTAACCTGCATATTGCATGTATTCCCAACATTTCCCTTTGCACCTTTCACTTGGAAAATCTTGCAAGCAGATGTAAGTCAGCAGTACCAACACCATGTTGGATAGTCACTTTACTCGGGGAGTTAAGTGAATAATTTTGTTAAGAATAAATCCATATAAACCCACAGATAGTGATTACTCTAAGTCACATATTTTTGGATACAAGATACAGTTGTGTGTCTGTGTGTGTGTATGTAAATCAATAGTATACAAATTTAAAGATAATAAAAGGAAAACATGCTTTTGTCAGAGAACAACCTTCAAAGTTAGAAAAGAAATTATGAACTTATTAGGAAATGCTTACTGTGTATTATAATAGAATCAATCATATTAGTTGTGTTCAAAGATACTGTTTTCCTTAATTATAGTAGTTTTATTCACTTAGTAGAAAATTTAGCAGTTTAAAAAAATATAAACAAAATTACAAGCAGACAAAAATTAAGCAGTGGATAATTGGATTTGGTTATGGATGTTTTCTTCTATATTTTTCTATTATTAATATGATAAAAATATTCATCTTCTTGGTGATATTGTTTTGCAGACCATTTTTAGCTTGCTATTGCTATTAGTTGAAAGTCCATCACCAAGAGAAGTTCCCTTAATACCCATTTCTGCCTTGGTGACCACTGATCTGATTTGTCACTACAATTTTCCTTTTTCAAAATGTCATATAATGGCATGCATGCTCAGTTGCTTAGTTCTATCCAACTCTTTTTTGACCCCATAGATTGTAGCCAGCAAGGGTCGTCTGTCCATGGGATTTCCCCAGGCAAGAATCCTGGAGTGGTTACCATTTCCTCCCCCAGGGGATCTTCCCAATCCAGGGATTGAACCTGCATCTCCTGTAGCTCCTGCATTGGCAGGCAGATTCTTTACCACTGAGCCACCTGGGAATTGGCCTTTGTGCCCAGCTTCTTTTACTTATCATAATACTTTTGAGTTCTTCCATGTTGTTGCGTATATCAGAAATTTCTTTCTTTTTTTAATTTATTTTTTAGATTGTTTTTCTTTTAGATTTAGTTTTAATTGGATAACAATTGCTTTACAATATTGTGTTGGTTTCTGCCATACATCACTGTGAATCAGCCATAATTATGCATATATCCCCTCCCTCTTGGTTTATTTCTTTTTATTGCTGCATAAAATTTCACTATATGAGTCTACCACAACTTGTTTATCCAAATATCATTTCGGGGATTTGCTGAGCTCTTGAAATCTGTCTGTTGAACTCTTTCATCCATTTTGGAATGTTCTTGGAGACTATTTTTTCCCAAAATTGCGTCTGTCCAAATCTCAGTCTCCCCTCTCCTGCTGGTATGAAAGTTGCAGTGGCTACTATGTTTGCTTGGGTTCCCACACCTCTAATGCTCTGTTCTGTTCTTTTCATTCTTTTTCACTCTGTGCTTCAGTTTGAATCTTTTTCTCTTGACTTTGAGCTATGCTACCTTTTTTAGATCCTTGAGTACTCATGATGATATTGCCATAAAGCTTGTGCAAATGAAACCTGAAAATTTATTCCTATTCTCCTTTTTAAAAAATGGAGTATAACTGACAAGCAGTATCACATCAGTTTCAGGTGTATATCACACTGATTTGATATGTGTCAATATATACATTTTTAAGTGATCACCACGGAAAGTCTAGCTACCTACCACCTGTCACCTTATAAAGTTTTTACAGTGCTATTGACTATATTCCCCATGGTCCATATACTTCTTCATGACTCATTTATTAATGAGATTTGTACCTCTTAATACCCTTTACCTTTCTCACCCCCTACACTTACTCTGATGATCAACAGTTTGTTCTCTGTTCTGTTTGTGCATTTGTTTCTTTTTTTTTTTTTTCCAGTGGCTTGTTCCTTTTTATTGATAAAATCCCATTGTATGGGATATGCCACATTGTGTTTATTCATTCTCCAATTGAAAGGCATTAGGTTGCTTCCATTGTTGAAATTCTATAAACAATTTTGCTAGGAATATTCATGTATATACACTTTTTTAAAAAAATGTATTTTAAAAATTGTACAATGTTGTGTTGGTTTCTCCTATACAACAAGGCAAATCAGCCATAATTATACATATATCCCCTCCCTCCCTAGCATCCCTCCCCTCCCCCCCACCCCATCCCTCTAGGTCATTCTTAGATTCCCCATATAATGAGATCATACAGTAGCTGTCTTTTTCTGTGTGACTTATTTTACTTAGCATAATACCCTCTAGGTTCATCCATATTGTGCAAATGGCAAGATTTCATTCTTTCTTATGGCTAACAATATTCCATTGTACATATATATATTTATGAAGGCCTCAAATACCTTTCCTTCTGAGTGCTAACCGAAGTCATTATTTTGCTGGCATTTTACTTAACTGTGGAATTGTTTGTCTGTCTCCTGTAGATCATAAGCTTCCCAGGGCAGGGGTTGTGTCTTCTTTTTGTTTATTATTGTTTCTCCCTGTAGTCTGTATTTCTGAAACATCTGTACTGAAACATCAGAGGATCTTAATATTTTTGAAATCAATATGGAATTTGTACCTTCCTGGTTACTTGAAGTCCTATCTCCTGAGATCGTGGAGGTCGCCTCATCATGGGTTGGAGTACATCATCTGTGCATGGACACCAGGCCTCCCACCCTCAGTGATGGTCTTTATGGCGACATTTACTATGGACTACTTTAGTTGACCTCAGAGGTAGAGGATCTCTTACCCAAGGGCATGTCAGAGAACCTGTGATAGCATGGATGGATGGAAAACCAAGTTGAAAGCAGACAGTTTGAACATAACTGTTGTGGACAGCTTTTAGACTCACGGGAAACTGCTGGCTCTCTTGGCTGAATTCTTGGGTATAGACTCTAATTTTGTGGGTTGACCTAACAATTCTCATTTCTGGGAAAACAACAGAGCCCACTCTCTGTTCTCCTAGCTTGCAAAGAATC